AGAAAAAAATTAATGGGTTGGATATTTCACTCATAACATAAGGAATGAATGGGGATGCCATGAGTCAGACCAACTAAACAGCAACTGGTGGTTTTAAAACACTGAAATTTCAAAATACTACAAACACAACAGCCACTGTCAACTGTCGGCCTACTAGTTTAAATGCTTTCTAGTCATCTCTAATCTCTACTCTTACCCTTCACAGTCAGTATCGTTCTATCTATTTTATAAATGATTAAACATATTCATAGAAACTAAGTAATGGCTACTAAACCAGAGAGGTAGGATTTGAACCCATGTCTGTCTGACTTTATATCTCCCCCTATACAAATTATAACCATACCTGGGCAAAATCCCCTGTCTAAAGAGATCCAGCCCTTACTCTGAAATCTACAGATCTATTTTGAGAATCAATGGTTTAAGTATGACAGTGATCCAACTGCACAGCTTAATCTTAATAGGACATATTCTACGAACAAAAATCTTGACAGGTTTGATGTTGGTATTGGTGTTATAATTCTTAAAGATACTAAGAACCAAGGTTATATCAGAAAGGAGATACAAGCACGGAATTGGGGAAAGTGAAGGAAAAACCCTGTGGAATTCGATTTGAATTGGAGGTTTCATATTAAAATACATATACATATATACACACACTCATATATATACACATACACTGTGTAAAACTTGTGAAAGCTGAAACTTGAGTAAGGCAGAAACCTGTCAGAGAAGGAAAATACAAATACTTTCCACTAAAAAAAGGCAACAGAAAAGTGGTAAAAGGCAGACAACTGTGAGACTTGGAAAGTCAAGGAAGTTCTTCTGGCTCTTTTAAAAGGTCTTTTAAAATAATGATACCCCTAACAAAGAGTATACTTAACACTCAGATCTTGGTTGCTAATTACCACCCTTCTCTTTCCTTAAAGGAACCAAGTCTTCTTGAAGAAACAGCTGATTCTGGGTCTGGGGAAAGAAATGTGTAAGGTGACGTGGCCTGGGACATCTTGTGCAAGAAGCAAGGATATACTCAAAGACTATGGGAACAAGCCTAAAGGGCAGAGGAGTCAGCCTGGGGAGGGGAGGGCTGGCCAAATCTGAGCATGAAAAGGATTATACTAAATTTTTTTTAAAAATTCATTAGTCTACAGTGACACAAGAGGTGAGGGAGTAGGAGAGTATGAAGAGAAAGGAAAAGAAGAAAAAAGTAAAGTTTTTTATAATAGAATGTCAACCAATAAATGCAGAAAGAATGACAAATGAAAAAATCACCTTTCCAACCCTCAATTTAAGAACTAGTTCAGTCAAGAATCATCAATGGATGCTCAGCACAAAATGATGAAGGCAAAGGAAAACACCGGGAGGAACACATACTCAATCCTGCACTAATAGCAGTAACGATATCTACAACTGGATACATAGAGAGACATGCTAGCTCAACAGGAGTGGGAAGGTGAATGAGTCTACACTCACAAATATATACAGGTTTTACAGAGGGTATTTCCACATACGTGTTTATACGTGCTGCAAATACACCCATGAATATAGGGCATATAGGCGGCATATATAGGGCCATAACGAAACACTTTGACAGAATGAGTCACTGGGTCTGAGGGCTCAGGACCAAAGTCTTGGGGAACATCAAGGTCAACTGGCTTAAGAACACAAAGATATGTTCTACACTCTACTTTGGTGAGTAGCAACTGAGATCTTAAAAGCTTGTAAAGGGTCATTAAGGTGCAATTATTTTTCTCTCCTTGTCCCAACCAAAGAAGAATAAAGAAAATCAAAGATGCATGGAAACAATTAGTTCAAAGGACTAGTGGACAACATGAACCTCAGCCTCCATGACTCTGACACCAGAAGAACTAGACAGTACCCAGCTACAACTGCTGACTGCTCTGAAAAGGATCACAGTAGAAGGTCCTTGATAAGAGTGGGAGAAAAACATGGGACAAAACTCAAAATCATAAAAATGACAAGCCTTACTGGTCTGATAGAGACTGGTGGAACCCCTGAGATCATGGCCCTTAGACACCCTTCAAGCCCAGAACTTAACTCAACCCTGTGACTCAACTTTCAGCCAAACTACTAAGAGGCCTATAAGGTGAACAGTAACACCAGGAAGATAACACACTCATTAAAACAATCAACCATACAACATCAAAAGGGCAGCACTGCCCTGGGATAAAGTTCAGAAGGCAGGAAGGGATAGGAAAGAAGAACCAATGCAAACAGTAAACACAGGGACGAAGTGAAAAGAGTGCTATTACATCCCGGGGCTTGCAATCTATGTCACAAAAGGAAATGTATGAATTGTTGAATAGTAAAGAAGAATTATCCATGGATGCTTAAACAACTGGGTGAAAGGCTGTTGGAGAACTCAGCTAGTCAAACAAGTACCATTACTTACTAATCACAAAGGGAGACATGTACTTTTATTATGGGAAGAGATAACAGCCACAAACACTAGAACTCCCCAACATTATGTGCCCCTGATGTGAAGTTAAAGTACACAGTATCAGCTAGGCAGAATTCTCGGAGGCAAAATAATTTAACCTGAATCTAATCATGAAGAAACAGAGGGGGAACGGGGTAGAGAGGGAGGTTGGATTTAATTTAGAAATTGAATAGACATTAAAAGGCAAATGCAATACAGGAATCTTGACTGGATCCTTTTTCTTGTCTTGTTTTTGATATAGCTATAAAAGACATCTGGAGAACCCCACATGTGTCTAAGTAGAACTGTGCTCCATAACACTTTTAATGGTTGACTTTTCAGAAGAGCATCAGGTTTTTCTTCCAAGGCATTTCTGAGTAAACCTGAACTTCCAGCCTTTCATTTAGCAGTCAAGTGCTTAACCACTTGTGCCATCCAGAGTACTCTTATCACCATGGTTAGGTTCCAAAGACCAGATCATTATGCTAAAATTGGCTTTATGTGAAAATGAAAGATTTTGTTTTTCTGTTCACAGACCATCCATCTGTCTGACTTTTTTGTTTGTCTGTTTAGAACATATGATTGTAGAAACAGTAACAACTAAGATTTACTGATGAGCTCATCACTGTGATGAGTCCGGTTATGGATTATCCCTAGGTAGAGGAGGCTTGGAGGAGACAAAGCTGGATACAGCCGAGCTATGTGACTGAAGGACCCATGGCTTAACCACTTCACCTTCCTCTTGTGCTAGGTCAGAGCTTCTCCTGAGAAGGGCTCCATTCCCACCCCTACAAGCCCAATCAATGTTTGCGATCCTACAGCTGCTCTGCCCTCCACAACTGGCAAGTCACCAAAACTCCGAGGCTTGTAGCTTCCTGGTAGGGCAAACTGGGAGCGTGGCCCCACCAAGGCAGACGCCTCAAGCATGGTTCGGCTCACTTTGAGATGTCATTAAACTCATGAATTTCTTGCAATCTCTTCTCCAATGCCTCATTCTTCCCTTTCTTCTCCCATAGAAATTCTGAGCTGTAGGGCCTCAGGCCACAGAAGAGTTAAGAACCCAGAACAGGAACCTGCTGCCTCAGTGCTGGCTCAGTGTTGCCTGAGCATTTGCCCAGAAGCTGTGGCCAAAGAGGAGACCAGCCTGCCTCCATGGCAGGTGGACTCAACACCTCTTCCTGCAGGAAGGAGTGGAGGCAACAGGCAGTGTAGCCCAACTTCCCAGAAACCACCCAGAGACCCTTCTTCAGGGAAGGGGTACTTTACAGCAATTGCCACCATGTGAGCCACTTTGTTAACAAGCAAAATAGCTGGACAGCAGATTTTTAACTATTGTTGTAAATGTGAAATATCAGATGAGACAGTCAGTAAGTGAAGAGTAGGTACATTGAGTAAGTATTAATTTTCTTAGATGCAAAAATGGCATTGTGCTTACATGGAGAATGATCTTATCCTTAGGAGAAAAAGAACTGAAGTATCAAATATTAATTATTTATCATGATGTATGCAACATACTTTCAAATAGTTAGCAAATGAAATATATGCACACATACATACTAAGAAATAAATGTGGCTAAACATTAACGATTGGTGAATCTGAAATAAATTCTAGACTCAACTAGATATTTGATGATATTAGGAGCTATTATTAATGTTTTAAGTGTGATAATTTTATTATGGCTGTGTTAAAAATAAAAGCCCTTAGCTTTCTGAGTTAAATACTAAAGTATTTATTGATGAAATAATGTTTAGAATTTGCTCCAAAATAATTAATTGAGGGGGACGGAGTAAGAGGTATAACAGAAACAAGACTGGGCAAGCACTGATAATACATGAGCTAGGGTGATGGTACACAGAAGGTCATATTATTCTCTCTACTTTTGAAATTTTCCACTAAAAATGTTCTAGGTTCAAATTCTGTTTTAGTACTAATATCAGCTATTATTTACAGTTTACCATGCACTCAAAAAAAAAGAAGGATATTTATGTAGTTGAAAGATCAACCCAAGTCTCCAAATCATCAATTAGACATCCATACTATAAATTTTGAGGAAATGGCCTCAAAGGTTTCTATGAGAGCATGATGCACGGTCACCAAACCACAGTCAAATATGGTGGCTTCTATGGTACGAACCCTCCTGTATGTGACTCATTAAAAAAAGAGAGAGCAAGAAATCACAGGGAATACTAATTCAATTTAAAATTCAGAATGTGTATTTCCTGGAAAAGGGGAGACAACTGATAAAATGTTTATAAAACTTGAAGGAAAAACAACCTAACAAAGCATTTCTGTTCAATTTATTCCATGAAGCAGACTGAGATAGTTTAAATTTTATTTCCTATGAATTTATGGCAAGTTTATCTTGATTTTACATTCTAAGTGGTAATTACAGTATTTCACTGTACATAAATTACATTTCAATAAAATATATTTTAAAAAATAAAATAATGCAGCAATGTTTTTTTTTTAAAAAGTGATAATTACAAAGAAAATTCCTATTTTAACTAGTACAAAACATCAAACAGCCATTGAGGGAGAGGGAGACCAAGTAAAGAACCTTACCTCCATCATGACCAACTTATCAGGATACGCCAGATCTCCAGGAGCTGGTTTGTAGCCAGTGATGTCAGTCTGAATGTAGATGTGGGTTCGGTAGACGAGCCGCTCTTGCACATCTTCCAACATCTGCTTTACCCCAGCTGCAAATGCCCCCAGTTGTTCAGCTGATAAAAACAAAGTACAATCATCCTTTAAATTCAGAAAATTACTTTCTTTTAAACAAGTGAAAATATTACTGAATTGTTCAGAAATAATATGAATCACTTTTGCTTAAGAAACTCTAGCTCTATTTCAGTATGACTCAAATGACCTTAGAAAAAGTGAGTGAGTAAATATCTGTGAATTTCCTAAATTTTAACATTGAGAATGGATTTGCCCTCACACCTCCTTGCTCAAGGAATACTTTTACTCTCCCCTTCCAGGGCAAGTAAGAGTGAAGAAACTCAAAGATGCCAGGAAACAATTAGTCCAAAAGACTGATGAACCATGTGAACTCCAGCCTCCACGACCTTGAGATCAGAATTGGATGGTGCCTGGCTACCACTGCTGACTGCTCTGAAAGGGATCACAATAGGAGGTCCTGGATAGAGTGGGAGAAAAATGTGGAACAGAATTCAAAATCATGAAAAAAAAAAACAGGCTTACTGGTCTGATAGAGAATAGTAGAACCCCTGATTCTATAGCATCTAGACATCCTTCAAGTTGCAAACTAAACTCACCATGTGACTTAACTTTTGGCCAAACAGACAGGCCCACAAGGTGAAAAATAATACCAAGAAGTTATACACTCTCAGAAGAACTAATCATATTAGATCAAAAGGGCAGCCCAGGGATAAAGCTCAGAAGACAAGAAGGGAAAGAAAAGGACAGAGAAATGGTAAACACAAGGAGGAAGTGGGAAGAGTGCTGTTACACTGTCTACCTCCAATGCATATCACAAAACATAATGTGTATGAATTGTTGAATGGAAAACCAATCTGCTCTGTAAATTTTCACCCCAATTACAATTTTTTAAAAATACCTTTATTAATAATATGAATATTAAAATCTGAATTTTAAGAGAGCTTTGTGCTTTTTAAAAGTGATTTGCATGATTCCATGGAGGTAGCTTGAAACCAACCCTGAGAGTAAGCTAAGGCAGATTATTAATTGGGTTATTATTCTTGTTTTACAAATAAATTGAGTCCCACAGTTGTTAATGATGTGTTAACATTTTCACAAAGAAAGATTAAGAAAAAATAAAATGGAATTGTTTATATAGTGTTTCTTGGTGTCTAAGATGCCTTCAATTTAATGCCATCAGTCATTCAGTAACAGTTTTCCAAGACTTGGGGGCTTGGAGACACTATACAATCAACTACAACATTCACATTGATTTTCAAAAAATCTTAAATTCAGAATCATTAAATTGTGGGAAAATGTACATCTTAGAACTAACTAAATTCAGTAAAATAAGAAACTTTGTAAGCATTAACAAACCCACAGTGTCTCCTAAGGAAAGACAAAAATTTCTACCAGTAAAATGATGACCTAAAGAGTATTGTTTCAAATGATCATTAGAAGAATGCATCAGATAAAGTAGACCTATTCCAGATAACTATTTCCTTTTATATTTAAAAAAAGATAAATCACTACTAAATATGCATGCTAAAATAATTTGATTTTTAATCAAGACTATACATGATAGTTCATCATGTACTCTGATCATGTTGTTGTTAAGTGCCATCAGGTCAATTCTGACTCACAATAACCCTACGTGACAGAGCAGAACTGCCCCTGGGTTTTCTTTGTTTTGATTTTTACAGAAATAGGTTGCCAACTTTTTCTCTTACACAGCCACTGGGTGGGTTTGAACTGCCAACCTTTCGGTTAGCAGCTTAACCACTGTGCTACCAGAGCTCCTTATTCTGATAACAGTGTACCAGAAATGCCTAACCCAAAACTGATGGTCTTTGGACATTCAATTGCTGGAAAGAAAAGTGACCATAATTTTTTTTTTTAACTAATTTGGCCCAGATTTTAAAATAATTTTCCCAGGAATTCCAGCAAGATGGCAGACTAGGCAGAAGGACTGCACAGACCCTCTTCAACAAAGAAAAGGGAAACCAATTAACACAGACATAGACGATAATCTTGAACCTCTGAGCCTTGAAGGGAAGGATACACAAGTGCACTAAACCCCAACAAGCAGAAGAATTTGCGTGAAAATTCCAAAAAAAGGAGACATACGGAGCTGCGGTCTGACAGCGAACTGAGCGACCCTGACAGTACAGGAGGCTTGGAGATTCCCAACTGGTGATAGGACCTAAGAATTAACTTAAAAATCACCCTGCTAGCCAGCGACTGCATGGACTGTGCACAGTGGCTGGGGAACAAACAGCGAAGGTGAAGAGAAAGGTGGGCTGAGTTGTGGACCTCTGCTGGTCCAGAGGGCGCCGCCATTTTGTAGGTTTAAAAAGCGGCTTGACTATTTTGGATATTTAAAGAGACAGCACTCTCACAGATTCCTGTGGTGGTAGGACTTCAGAATTAACCTAAAAATCACCCTGCTAGCCAGGGACTACACAGAGGACTGTGCACAGTGACTGGGGAACAAATGAAGAAGGTGAAGAGAAAGGTGGGTGGAGCTGTGGGCTTTTGCCGGTTTGAAGGGTGCCGCCATTTTGAAGGTTTAAACAGCGGCTTGACTATTTTGGATATTTAAAGAGACAGCGCTCTGGCAGATTTCTGGGGCTTAAGAACACGTTCTGCTTTCCAGCAACCCCAAGGACACTTGGGGCCTGAAAGACTGAAAAGCAACGGGCCAACGATAAAAACCACCAAGAACAGCCTGAACCACCCTTGGCTGCTCTTCATAAACAGTTAACAGAGATCTAAATACAACAACGTCACGATGCCTCAGAAACAACAGACCATCACAGTCCACACAAAGAAGCAGGATAAAGTGGTAGAAATAAGGAAGCAGGATACAGACCCAGAATACATCCCTGAGGAAGAAGCAACATTGGAACTCTCTGATAAGGAAAATAATTTTCCCATTTAATTTATGCCTTCAGTCACAGAATAAAGTGCACCTTGATTCAAAAAGGGGCAGGGCATTCAATCCAGGCTTCAAAAATATAATCAGATACAATATTTTTCAGAAGGGAGAATATAATCTTTTTCTAGTTTATTGAGATACAAATGTAATTTAAAAAACCTTTAAGTTACCAATTCAACTTATCATTTACCATTGTTCTGTACATGATCTTCAAGCACCTCATTTTTAAGAATACCACAGAGTTCTGAAAGAGTCTCTAAGTGAATAACATGAATGATCAGTGGCCTGAAGACATCATACAATGATATACACAGCTTCTCCAAAAGTTCACTAAAATAAAAGAAGAAAACATTGTTACTAGGACTAATCTTTTCAGGATTCTCTAATAGTGTAAGAGAGTTCATTGATTTCTTACAGCCAATAAAATCAGAAAATAGTTTCTGACAACATTTTGAATGTTGTATAAGCAATCCTTAGCAGTCAATTCCAATCAGCTATTCCCAACCAAAAGACAACTCATTAAAAAACTTTATTTACTTCAGCAATAATTTCTTTCTAAAACAATAAAAATATTTCAGTAGATTTAAGTATCCATTTACATTCTACTTCACTGTGAATCACATGGTATCACTCTCCCTAGAAAAGATATGTTCAAAATTCATAAATACTTAAGAGATTTAGATAGGCAAAACTCAAAGTACTTGGGATATCCACCAATAATTTTGAGAAATTTTAAACATTTGAGAAAGAAAAAACTAAGTTGCCTTCATATTGCCAATGGTACTCTTCTATATAAAGTATTTCATTAAAAGTGACCATCAACAAAACTATGAAATGCACTGGCTTCTTCCCCATTACAGAAGTCAACAAATGGCCAAGATGAAGAATCCAAAAGCTATGTCAGTGGACTTGAAAGACACTTCTAGAGAAAAAAAGGATATTAAATAGTGTCTGCATTTTGAAATGCTTTTCATTAGTTAGAATCATTTCTGTGATTTCAGCTTGAATCACAGTCATAGAAGCAATCACTGTACTCAGTGAAGATAAGGGGATCTAAATGCCCAAGACGAGTTCCCTGTACAGGGTTCTTATCATCACATCACACACTCTCCATCATCATATTAGAAACAATATAAAAGCATATTAAATCTTTAATTTATACATTAGGTGAAGAAAATAACTACTGTCCTTTCCTACAATGTTCTGCACACACATACATATACAAAGAAGTAAAAACACTCTGCAGTTAATAACACAAAACTCTTCTAATAAAATAATCCATTACGACTACCAATAAATTAAACCTTAATAACAACAGTTAGACTCCATGGATCACCTACTCTAGTTTTGATGTTGGTTTTGTGAAAAATTCATTGTAAAGCTGGTGTTCATCCTGGCATACGTGGACCATAAATGCACAGCCACTGCGAACCTGCAGTACACAAACACACACCACTGATAGTTAAAGACACGCAATGCTTCCAGTGCCATGAAATAAAGCCTATAATTTATTTGCAAAGAGATTCTGCATATGTATTCGTAACACAACATACTGAAGAAGAGAAAATGGTTGGTTTTTAATGAATGCCACATAATAGGACTGTGGGTGATTTTTACTTCTTTATGCATTATTTTCTAAGCTTTTACCAAAGAACACGTAATATTTTTCTAGTCCAAAAGGGAATACTTAAAAAAAGAGCCTTTATGCATATTTCTATAGTATGAGTTAAAACCACACAAAACAAAACAGTACTTTATCAGCAAAAGCTACAATTAAATTGTAGATATAAACCCACAAATTATAAACTTCATGTTTCAATGAACAATATTTATTTGTAAATCCTCGTTGCTCAAAAATATGTCAAGATGAGGATACTTTGCCAAGTTGCATAAAGAAACTAGATTTGTCATAACTGAAAAAACAATTATTTAAGTTTGTTGCTATGGGACTTACTATGGGTTGAATTGTGTTCCCAGATATATATGTTGAAGTTCTAATCTCTATACCTGTAAACATGGCCTCACTTGGAAAGAGGGTTGTTAGAGATGTAATTAGTTAAATTAAGCTGAGGTCATTAGGGTGGGCCCTAATCTATCGGTGTCCTTACAAGATGAAAAAAACACACAGAGAAGAATTCCATGTGGTGACCAAGACAGAGATTGGAGTGATGCTGCCACACACCATGCAAAAGATGGCAACACCAGAAGAACCAGGAAAGATCTTCCACTAGGGCCTTTGGAGAGAGCATGGCCCTGCCAACACCCTGAATTTTGACTTCTAGACTCCAAAACTGTGAGACAGTAAGCTTCTATTCTTTCAAGCCACTCAGTTTGTGATAATTTGTTACAGCAGCCATGTTGTTGTTGTTGTTATTATGTGCCATCGAGTCGGCCCTGACTCATAGCGACCCCTCCTTGGGTTTCCGAGGCAGTATCACTACAGAAGTAGGATTGCCCCATCTTCCTTCTGAGGAGTGGCTGGTGAGTTTGAACTGCCAGCCTTCTTGTTAGCAGTCAAGTGCCTTAGGCACTATGCTACCAGCAGCCATAGGAAACTAATACAGGATTTAAAACTTATTTATCCAGTTAAAACTTCTATGGTATCAAAATAGCCCAGATGATTTAACATTAAACCAAAACAAGCAGAAACTTACCAAGGCACAATGATCTCTATTATTCTGGCTGGTTAACTCTGTTACAGTGCAAGTAATACTAGGGCCCAAAAGGAGTTCCCGCTGATCAAGGTAACACTGGTGGATGTCATTTAGGAGCTGTTGGTACCTGATGGGAAGCGAATGAGATTGGCATATAAATTTCCAATTTCATGTAAAGGAACCCCTGCTTTCCAGAAGTTTATTTTTCACCACTTTATTTTTATGAAAGATCTACACTGATACCTATTTTCATTAACTCAACGAAATCCAAAGAGGATTTTCACTTTTTACAAAAAAATTGAACTAGCATTCGTCATTTGTTTTGCAGCGAGTCATTAGAGGCAAGCACTCAACCCCAGCAGTAAGAGTGACATCACCAAGCTCATTCCCTGGAAACTATACTCAGCGTCTCAGCATTAAGCCGCTTTGAACAGTGTCTATAAACACTATATGTTAGTGTTATTTTGGGTTTTATGTATTATTTGGTAGGTTATTTTTTTTTTTTTTTTTTTTTTTTTTTTTTTTTTTATTAGGATTTGGGTGAAGATTTACAGAGTAAATTCACTTTTCATACAGCAGTTCACATATACTTTGTCTCATGTCATTGACCAAAATTTACAATGCAGCAGCTCCCCTCCCACTTCCTCCCCATAGTTACCTCCTCCCAGTGTCCATCCCTTCATACTCTTCGAGAGGCCCATTTTCTGCCAACCCTGTATATGATCTTGGAGGGAATGCTGTTGGTAGGTTATTTTTTGAGTCTGAGAACACTTCAAATTTTTTCCTTATATAAATTGCTTCTTCGGCTTTATGCCATTTCAACCACAAAAGGTTCCATAGGAATGCTCTGCTATCAGGAGTGGGCGAAACTTGTATATAAATTAAACCTAATCATAAATCACAGAATAAATTGCTAAACTGCAAAAGCTATACATACGGTCACCTCTCATTTGCCCACATTAAATATTAAAAATATTTTATGCATGGAAAGAAAAAATAAACCATAATGATCTTCATTTTCATAACAGAAGGATTCATCTCCTAAGAGCAGGGATTTTTCATTTGCCCAAAAAAGAAGGAAACCCTGCTCTGGGAGCTGCCATGAAAACTCACTATGTCAGGTCTATGACCTTGTCCCCCAAACTAAATACACGCTACATGACTGTGTGCAAGGGAATTGCTCAGAAAGTATCAGGGCCATAACTAGATCTGGACAACGAGAAAGAACTTCAAGAAGAAGGTGATTTGGAAACTGAAGAACTCACTCAGGTATTTTCTCAGATCGTTGTTCTATTTGTTCAATAAGTGTCTACAGGACAAAGAAAAATAAGTAAAAAATCCATGTTTTAAAACTTTAATTACAAGCTTTTCTAATAGTATCACATGCTCATCTTAAATATAAAAAAGGAAAATGATCATAAAAATCACCTACAATGTCAAAAATTAAGCCAAGTTAACACTCCAATATATTATCTTTCAGCTTTTATATGTTTTATATATAAGAGTTGTTTCTCTTCTTTTTAAAAAAACAAAAATGGATTACACGATATATTCAGCTTCATAATGTTTTTCTCGGTTAACATTATTTCAAAAATATTTTCCTACTCTTAAACAATTTTCAGTATTAGATGAAATTTTAGCTGAAAATGTACAGAAAGCCTTAACACAGTGCCTGACACCTGGTCAACACTCAATGAATTATCACTATAAATATTATTTAAAGCAATACTTTAAATGGCAACATAATATCCATTGGGTAAAAAAACAAACAAACAAACTCATAGTGACCCCCCCTTGGGTTTCTAAGGCTGCATCTCTACAGAAGTAGATTGCCCAGTCTTCCTTCCGAGGAGTGGCTGGTGGGTTTGAACTGCCAGCCTTCTGGTTGGCAGTCAAATGCCTTAGGCACTATACCACCAGAACTTTTTTTTTTATCCATTGGGTAGATGTACCATAATTCAGCCACTCTTCTGTTAGACATGTAGGTTGTTTCCTAAGAATAACAGCCCAGTGCCTGGTCGTGGCACTCTCGTGGCGCTGTAGTTAAAGCACTGGGGTGCTAACCAAAAGGTCAGTGGTTTGAACCCACCAGCCACTCCATGAGAGAAAGATGGTGCAATCTGCTTCCATAAAGATTCACAACCTTGGAAACCATATGGGGCAGCTCTCTCTTCTAGGGTCACTAGGAATCAAATCAACTTGATAGCAGTGGATTTGGCCTGGTTTTTTGGTTGGTTAAGACCTCTAGGCCAAGAGTGAAACTACCAAATTCAAGCACCAGTTCTACCACCTGTTAGGTAGCTATCTGAACCCAGGTAAGTTGCTTTATTTCTCTGAGATTTCACTTCCTACAATGTAAAATTGGTAAAATAAAAGTCCTCCCATAACTACTGTATTTACTATTGCAAACATCCAATGATCCCACGTATGAAACATACTAAGCACAGTGCCTGGCTTACCTAGTAAGCATTCAAACCATATTAGATGTTATTTGTTTGCATCTCAGAAATTTTCTTATTAATAAGTGCTGTTATAGATTGACTCATGTCCCCGAAAGAATTAAAGTTGAAGTCCTAATGTCCATACCTGTAAACATGGCCCTGCTTGGAAATAAGGGTTTTCATTATATGAATGAGGTCACACCAGTTGGGTAGGTCCTAAACCAAATCCTTAATATTTTCTCAGTAATTTTTTTCAATAGCTTCTTCTGGCTTTTAATGGTATGCTTTATCATTTTTGTATTTAACTCTTTAGAAAGTATTTTGCTAATGTTATGAAATGAAGTGCTTAATTTTTTTTTCAAATACTCAGTAAATCTTCCAAATGCAATAAATATGTGAAAAACTCTACCTCCTCCTCTTTGATTTGGGATGTTTCCTTACAAAGTAAGCTGTAGAATTTTCTGTGAATTCTTAATTAGTATCACTATTCAAAGTTCTTTTCATTTAGTCTTGTCTATTTACTCTATCACATAAATTTTAGGATCATCCAAAAGAAATTCCATTGCCATTTTTACTAGGATTAAACTGCAACCAATAAAGTCCACTGGGAAGAATTGATATTTTCAAAATATTTAATCTCCCCAACCAAGAACAGATAGGCTTACCATTATTCAATCTTCTATAATTTTCTGTCTAGTTTTATTATTTTCTTCATCCATCTATTTCCATTAAGGTTATCTGTACTTAAAGTATTTTTACTTTCCATTACTGATATAAATGGAACCTCATCACATATATTAATTAGTTACTAACGGTGTATAAGGAGTTCTGGTAGCATAGTGCCTAAGGCACTTGACTGCTAACCAGAAGGCTGGCAGTTCAAACTCACCAGCCACTCCTCGGAAGGAAGGTTGGGCAATCTACTTCCGTAGTGATAATGCCTCGGAAACCCAAGGAGGGGTCGCTACGAATCAGGGCCGACTTGACGGCACATAACAACAACAACAATAACAACAACGGTGTATAAGAAAGCCACTCATAAATTATATGCTTATTTGGTATTCTCCCACCACATGGAGCTCTGTTATCTATACCCTTTATTTTCTTATAAATTTTAATCAGTGGCATTTTAATCAGAAGTAATCAATCAGGCAAAATCTGCATCATACCATAAATTACCCACTTTTTCCCCTCTATCTACCTCAGTGCCTAAGGCACTTGACTGCTAACCAGAAGGCTGGTGGTTCAAACCCACCAGCCACTCCTCGGAAGGAAGGTTGGGCATTCCTACTTCCGTAGTGATACTGCCTCGGAAACCCAAGGAGGGGTCACTATGAGTCGGGGCTGACTCGACGGCACATAACAACAACAACAACAACCTCCTTTAAACTACATCAAGTTTCCTCCATCTCCAACATAAAAAAACAGAACAAATAAAACTCATTACAACTGACTCTCAAGAAGAAAACCAAAGAAGCAAGTGAGGTCTGAGTCAGCAACAGTAGATGCTTCTTTTTCATATCTTCACTATGAGTAGAAACAAAAAAAAGACATGCACCAGCTCCAGTCAACTACATCTTAGAAATACCGTACAACATATAAATACGTAACACATACATTAAGCTCATCCCAATTCCCAGTCACTTGACTAGGATAAAGACATTTTGCGTTCCTTCATGTACCAGACACTGTGCTGAGGAAGTAAGGCACATCCCCACAACCTCAGGGAACCTCAGCAACGCCTTAACTCATCCTCTACTTCTCACCTTGATTAGTGCAAAATCCTCCTTGTTAATCAGGTCTCCCTGTCTCAAATCTTTACCACAATGCATTCTTTATACTGTAACTTGTCTTCTGAAATGGCCTATCTGTCCATTATCACTCTCCTACTTGAAATACTTCATTGGTTAGTCACTTTTCCTGAGTTGCGATCTGTAATATCCTTTATAAGATGGTCTTTACCATCTTTCTTGTCTTCTGACCTATCACACCCCACTAATGTCTTGTGTTCCAGTTATAAAAATTATATAGTCCTCCCAAAAGGCATTTTTATGTCTCTACACCCTCTTTCACATGCTATTCTCTCCATATGAAATATCCTTATCGCTTCCTTCAAGTCTACCTAGTGAACTCTTTTTAAGGTCAAATATCACCTTCATCTAGAAACCTTCCCTGAGCATCTTAGGAAGAGCTAGCTATATCCTGCTCTGTGGTCTTAAACTATACTGACCATGCCTCTAAGATACACTGCTGACTGTGGAAGGACACTGTCTACTTTCTACTCATGTTCTTGGTATTAGCGCAGGGCCTGACACACAACAGGACTTCAAGAGGCTGGTTAAATAAATTTCACAGCAATGTGTATGTATGTCAACAGACTTACTCTGACTTTGGGGGCAGCGGCTCGAAATTTCACATAAAATAGTGTGAAAGCATTATCTGCATTAGGTACAGATGAAGGATCCTAAAAAAATATAAACAGAAAAAAATGAAGATAATTAGCAAACAGTTATTTGGAAAACATTATATTATCATTTCATAAGGCTACGACATGGTCCATGTATCAACTAAAAGCTTAAGACAGAAAAATCTCAAGAGGGGATTAAATATTATTATTCCTGTAAGTAAGAAGTAATTTAATTACACAGAACTGTCATCTTTAAGGAGCTCTGGTGGTTCAGTGGTTAAAGCCTCGGGCTGCAAAGCAAAACATCCGCAGTTCAAACCCACTAGCTGCTCCACAGGAGAAACATGAGGCAGTGCTTCTGTGGTAATTTACAGCCTTGGAAACCCTATGAAGTAGTTCTACTTTGTCCCATAGGGTTGCTGTGAGTCAGAATTGACTTGATGGTGGTGGGGTGGGTCATCTCTCTCCTCTTTATAATTAAATTTACCTTATGTTACATGTATTTTGTAGATAAATAAATTCAGATTCATACTTTGCCACTTAACTGAGTTTAGGATATTGCCCAAATTATTTAACTTTTCTGAGATTCAGTGCATCCACTAAATGGCAACAACACACTTTGGAGAGGTTTTGCACAGTTCAACAGAAAATCACTAGATGCTAGCTTCCTAAACTTGCTGAAAATTTTGCAAAATAAAAAAAAAAAATTATATAGTCTGGCTGTTACATTAACAAAGAGTAAAATTAAGAGTAAAATAATTTTAGTTTGTCAAAGTGACCCAGAAATCAGTGCTGCTGAATAGAAAATTCTCAAAATGGTAACCCTATACAAGTGGTAAGTTTTGGAAATGGGGGCTGGTAATGGTTGTACAACACTGTGAATTTAATTAACACCACTGAACTGTACAATTAAAGTGGTTGAAAAGGTAAATTTTCTGTTATATATATCTTACCACAATAAAATTTACATGTTTCTTTAAAAAAGATGCCATGTTCTTTAGGACATAAACTTAACAAATAAATACCTAACCTTTACAGTTTTATTTTCTTCAGGGGAAATGTACTCAACGACTACCCTAATTAGTCCTTCCTGTTTACTAACCTAACACCCTGTTGATTTTCTACCCAGCGTCTACCACAATATGTAAATAATTAATTTGGTGAATTACAGTGATTATTTCTGTAGTGATTATTTCTGCTGAATGTAAGCTCCATAAGGGTAAGGACATTGCTGGCTCCTTTTTGCTACTGTACAGTTCCTAGTTCATTGCCAGGCACTGAAGAGGTTCTTGAGAAAAATACATTTAATTTGTTAATACAGAAAATTATTTTTAAAAAATACACAAAAATGTAAACAAGAAATTTTTAATTATCCATCATATATAATCCCACCACTCAAACAGAACTACTTCTATCATTTTGGTTTAATTCCTCCCAATATTTTCATAAAAAGATAGGAAAGAAATTGTTTTGAGTTACAAACAGACTGTATCTTATTTTATTATTTATCATACAATACTGGAAACTTCTCACACTGATAAACATTCTTTGAAAATAAGACTAATGTATGGACATGTGGCCATTTTTCCCTATCATAAATAAAACTGTAATACGCATTCTTATTTGACAAAAGGTGGAATTTTTTTTTAAGTTACAAAGTACTAATCTCAGGTTAAGATTATGGAAGATGAATGAAAAAAAAAAGCTGTTATTGGGACTAGTTAACTCACCCTTTTTAGTAACTGATTCGTAAGGTTCTGTAGTGTGTTCACAGTGTAGGACTTCATGAGGTGCAAAGCTTTAGAAAGACATTGCTTAAACTTCATCAAATATACAGGATAATCTTTAAAATTAGGCTGAAAAGGAGAAAGAATGATTAACACAAAGGAAACAATGGCAAAAAAAACTTTCAGTGAAAACCAAGACATATGTACACATGTATGTATATATACAAACTTTGTGTAAACTGTGTGTGTGTGTATACACACACATACACGTATGTATATATTTGGTTTCTTACACATAAGAAAATCTTACATAGATCATAACTAGCTCAAAGCTAAATGCCCTGTGCCTGGCACATAAAAGAGGTTCAACAGATATTTGCAGTTGTTAGCAAATATATATTTTCAATACCCTAAGGACTTCATGGCTAACATATAAGGCCTAGCTTGGAAAAGTATATGAAGTGGGGGAAGTAAATGCTAATATAAATCCTTGGAAAATTAAATCAAAGAGTTTGACCCTTTATTTCCCCCCACATAACACTTTTTGTTTCCCAAGAACTATCTATCACATCAGCGGAATAACAATCTAAAAATGGTTCATATTTTTAAGTGAGATAAAGTTGAGTCCACCAGGACCCCACTTTACTCCAAGGACTGCCTCAGAAGCAGAAAGTTTTCACAACACTACTGATATCCACTGAGAATTTACTATTTACTATTGTTTTTCCCCTTAGAAGAAGAAATTATCTTACAGCAGGAGAAGTGATATAAAGGGAAGCTAAGCTTTCTTTAAAATATGTAGCAATAACATGACTTACATGAGATGAGATATAGGTTATACAATCATCTAACTTAGCCAGCATAGGTATAAATCCTTCACTATTCACAGACAATGTAGGGGAATTCAATTTCTGTAAGGGAAACAGAAAGAAAACAATCTTAATTCACAAAAAAGACATAGGTAGAAGCTTAAAATTACGTATTTGAATTACCCCATTTCCATTTAGGACATAACAGTTATATTAATGTCTTTAAAATACATTTTAATAGTCATCAAAATCTCCTCAAATGCCATCCATGTATAACAATAAATAAGGGACAAACAGAAAAGAATACTGATTCAATTCAGTTTATTCCTACTGAGCCTTAATGGGGCTCTTGGTGGAGTAGCAAAGATTTTTTATTTCTTCATTTTTTACTGTTATATTAAAATAATATACCAAATATCTAGATTTCCCATTTTCTCATACTTTACAATATAAATAATTTTTCTACTTTCAAAAATGGTGATTCTCTTCAAGATTAAAGAATTAACTAATGTTTCCCAGTCATACTAAAATATTACCAGCCAATTATCTCTTATCTTTATACACAAATAGCTTGCTAAGAAAGAACTATCTCCCACTGCATTCACTGTTAATTAGCTCCTACTTTTACTTGTATCTCTTTAGTAAAGTGTAGTAATTGTGATTAATTTAATCATTTCAATACTTTATTATTTATTTGTCAACAGTAAAATTAATTTATGAGCCAGAAATATATAGACATATACTTTACATACCAATCTTTATTAGGACTACCTCTATGGGATTTAAGTATGCCTTATGAGGCCTGTACTTTTCCTGTAACTCATGATCTGAGATTAGTTCTTTTTTTAAAATGTTTTGATTAGTATTATAGGAACACAACCACAGCATGATTTAAACTTGAATATTTCTTCCTCTAATCTTCATTATAGCCTACAAATGACCAACAAAGGTAACCAAGAAAAAGATTTTATTAACAATAACACAATTTTAGAATACTAGTTAAACTATATTTGGAAAAAATCTGAACTGGTAATAAATTGGCTACAAATAGGACTATCTTCAAGCAAGCAAACTATTAAATCAGTATATCATTCAAGTTAATTATAAATTTTAAGATTATACTCAGAAATACAAAACAAAAATTACTAAAATTACAAGAAGTAAAAAAAAAAAAAAATGCTTACTGTATTAACAGTTTCCAATTCGTTAAAATAAGAAAGCTTTTGTTGAATGTTTTCAGCCAGATCAACAAGTTCCGACTGCATTTTTTTTAAAAGAGAAAAAACAATTAATATGAGAATCAACACCACTCTAACAAAATTACACTGAATAGCTTTATATTACACATATGGGTTTATATTAAGTATACGATTTTAGACTAATGCTCAAAGATTTACTAAAATAATAATTATTCCTCATCTTCTCATAAAACAATAATCACTATTTAAAAAACACAAAAATACAGAGAAAACTGAGTTAAACATAGTAAGTTAAATATTCTAAGTTATCCCTTTAAATGCAACCTAGATCAGGTGATCTTTATGCCCATTACTGCAATCATTTTGAAAAGTGTCGATCATAAAGAGCCAATAATAAAAAGTGGCAGTAATAAATAAAGAGCACATGAATATATCCTCTTCACTGTGAAACTGTACTGCGACCTCACAACTCAGACACAGAAAAGCTTGCCTGTGTCCTGTTACCATAAATTTACTTTGAATAAAAGTAGGTTATCAATGTCATAACCTGCATGCTTAGCACAGGGCCTCATACAGAGTGGTGTTCAATATATACTTAGACAAATCAGTGACATTAAAATTAAACTGTACTTCGCTACTTCAAAATAAAACATTAAATATAATCACTGACCCTCTCTCCCAAGTTACCTGTTCTTTCAGGAGCTGTTCACAGGCTTCATGTAGGGTTCCTGTCTTATTGGACACAAACAGATACTGTTTCTGCAATGACTCCAGATGCTGAAGAGCACTGTTTACATCAGTCAATATAGCATCGCACTGCTCCTGAAACCCAGACAAGTAATCCCTCATCTGTCTAGAAAACAGAACCAAAAGGGGATTGACAATAATATTTTCCCCCAATAAACATAGTCAATAAACAGCAAAGCTTCATTTTTTCCAAAAAAGAATTTCAGCAGGAAAGTCTAACCTATTCAAAAAAGGTTATAATATTCAGAAATGTACTAAAAGTTATCTTATCAACTCTCAGTACTTAAGATGGCAAATCACTGATACTATAAGCAACAAAAGGAATCAGTCATGAAGCTATAAATTGGTTTTTCTCATGTAAAACAATAAAGCTTGGCTCAACTTTCAAAGACTGGGACATCAAAGCCATCCTGAGGAATCAATTAAGGTCAGTTTTTCAGGTCACTTCTACCTTTGAGAGATGGCATCATATAACAGAAAGAAAACTAGACTTGGAATTGGAAGATCTGGGTCCAAGTCCCAGTTCAGCCCAAGTATCTGTGACACTGGGCTTGTTTGCCCATTGACAAAATAGAAATAATACTGTTCCTCACAGAAAGGAGTCTGGTGACATAATGGTTAAAGCATTCGTTTGCTAACCACAAGGCCAGTGGTTCGAACCCACCAGCCTCTCCAACAGGACAAAGATGCTTCCATAAAGATTTACAGCGTTGGAAACCCTATGTGGCAGTTCTACTCTGAACTAAAAGGGTTGCTATCAGTCAGAATCGACAGCATGGCAGTGGGCTTGGTTTGGGTTCTCACAGAGTAGCTATGAGGATAAAAAGTACAATTTACATCAAAGTGCCCAACACAATGCCTAGTAATAATAGTCACTCAAATAAATAACTCAATACATATGCTCAACCCATAGTCTCCAAGTCAACTAGAAACTGAACACCATGTTTCCCATGCTATCAGCACATACAAAAACAACAGCATAGTTAGAACTAATCTAATCCATGTGGCCCTCCTAACAGATGGCCATCTCTAAAGTCTCTTGGGTCACCCCTTCTAAAGAAAGACACAAACACCTCTTAACATTTCTATACACTTGCCACTTAAATTTTGCTGGAGTTACATTAGCCAATGTTTGCCCCTCCAAACCTATTAGGTAAGCTATAACTCTATTTTTGCAATTGCACAACTTCCCATACCAGTTCTCATGACCCAAAACCTCTCCCAACTGATAAAGAAAATATTGCAGCAGGAGTTTTCTTTGTATCTTACTTTTGTTTAAAGACAAAAGTATAAAGATTATAAGCTTAAGATGTCTATGGTCTAAAAATGAGAATATCCAACAAATTCAAGAGCCACATACCTATATTTAGTTCCTTCATCTTGATCCATCTGAATTTGGACCTTTGCAAACCATGAGAAAAACTGGGAATATAAGAGTATTAAATTGATAACAAAACTAAAACAGACAGAATGAAAAGTGCTACACACACTAAACAACACGTCAAAAGGGCAGATACTACTTAAACTTATCTATTTGGGACTCGGACATTAATAATTCATTGTAAGCCAGAAGGAGATAATTTAATTATGTATTCAACATCCACACACCAGAAAAACTCAGAATATTAAAAACACTGGCCATCTTCAGGGTCAAGTAAGGAACAGTACGAGAGACAAAATATGTAAGAATTTTTGCCAAACTTAAGTGTATATTATAGAGCTTTGGGTCAATAGCAACAAACCCACCAGCCACTCCTCAGAAGGAAGGTTGGGCAATCTACTTCCATAGTGATACCGCCTCAGAAACCCAAGGAAGGGTCGCTATGAATTGGGTTTGACTCGACAGCACATAACAACAACAACGAGAACTGTGAGAGGATAAACTAAGAAATAACATAAATTATAACATGAACTTTGGCATCTGGTAAACCTGAGTTTGAATTCTGGCCCTGCTACCACCAATGTCATGGAAAGTATCTATTATTAAAAAGAGGTGGGAGGGCGTTGATCTCAAATGGCATGAGAGAACTTTTGGGGTGATGGAAATGTTTTATACCTTGACTGTAGTTTTATACCTTGATTACATTACACAGGTATACACGTTTGTCAAAGCTCATTAAACTGTACACTTAAAATGACTGTATTTTACTGTATATAAACTGTAACTCAATAAATTTTTTAAAGAATTTTTTAGATTCACATGTGTACAATTCAATCCAGAAGACTTTTTTTTTTTTTTTTAATAGTTCAAGTAAGTTCACAGACATCGTACAAGATTACCTTCTACAAGTCTCAAGCAGGATTTTACGTCAAGGTATGCTTTATTCTCTCAAGATACAAGGCTTGCCAAGTACCTTGGCTATCACTTATTTATTTATTATCATTTATATATATATTATTTATTATTTATAAATAATATAATAAATAATAAATAATATATTATTTATTATCATTTATTGCGTGTCTGCCCCACTCTACATCTACATGCAGTATCTGATTTAATTCACACAAAAATCCTATGAGATAGGTATGACAATGAGTCCTGTTTCACAGATTAGGAAACTAAAGACCTGAGAGGTTAAGTAACTTGCCTAAGCTCATAAAGATGGTAAGTGATGAAGCTGACTTACAGTTCCAGCTCTGCCAGACTCAAGAGATGGTGCCCTTAACCACTCTGTAAGCACTCTCTCAACTTACTGTATGTACAATGCATTAAGACTGCTTTACGTTTTTTCTCAGTAAATGTCTCAGCTTTGATTCTAAACAGGACAGGAGGTGACAGAAGAGGTAGCAGAAGACACTATTATACATTTAGGTTTATAATTAGGAATAAGCAAAAACTATGAGAGGATTCTGTGTGCTAAATTACTGAAAAAGTACCTGTAAGTGTTCATCTAAAAAGGATATTTAAGTTTCAAAAAAAGGGATTACCTAGCAATAAGCAGAGAAACGTGTGTCTATATGTGTGTTGGAGGGTCAGATTAACACACACAAACACTGGAGGTAGTCAACAATCCTTAAAATATTCAAACCTTAATAAAGTTAATGAGCATTCACACTTGGAATACCCTATCTTTATCTGTATTACTAACAGGTAGATTTAAAACACTTGAGAAAGAATCACAAAATCAAGAATGTTCTAGAAAAACTTGATGTTAACTACAGTTTCAACTGTTCAGAACTTTTAACTAGGACTTTTTTATTAGCCTTGTTTTGAGGCACGTAAAATACATCAAAATTCCTTAGAAAAGATGCTGTCATTCACCTGTTGGGCAGTTTCAATTCTTTCTTCTTCCATCCCTAAGGAAGAGAAGCCCCTCATGAGAATGTCTTCTGTAGATTCAGGCACTATTGAAGTCAGTGAAATGGGCAGCGACTGCGATGTTAAACTGCTCAAGTCTTCAATTGGAAGCTTTGAAAAAAAAAAAGAGCCACAAAGATGATTAAATAACAAGAAAAGCCTCTGAACCTAACTCAAGATTGGGTTGACACCTAGGTGTTTTGAAAGAGAAAGGAATGTTTTCCATTAAATCATTTGACATTAATAAATGGCATATAATACTAGTACCTATAACTAGACTCTGTATGTTAAATGCTAGTCTCAAAATGCAAACATGACATAGTAGCCCCACCATCATAAGGTCTGGTTCCTGAGTTAGCCTTTTAACAATGGTGATGGATCTGCGCTAATCCACACCTTTCCTCACTTGAGCCTCTTGGGAATGACCACCAAACAAAGGAAAAGCCTGTGTGCTGCTGCAAGGAACTTGCCCTCCCTAGTATCTAACACAAAAGTCTGATCTAATGAACTCCAACCAACAGGACTAACAAATCATATCATTAATAACTACCAGTAACATCACCTCCTTCTACATTCCCACCTACTGGCACACCTCACCCACACCACAATGACAAATTTTGAAATTGCAACTGAATAGAAACAAATTCAGTTTCCCATCAGTTCCAGAGGTGCCCCACCAACCAGGCCTCACTGACAGCACGAGAAGCAGACATAGAGTACTTTCTAGTTCTTCACTACTAAAGATAGGCCAAGGAGCTCTGGTAGCATAGTGTTTAAGGCACTTGACTGCTAACCAGAAGGCTGGTGGTTCAAACTCACCAGCCACTCCTCAGAAGGAAGGTCGGGCAATCTATTTCGTAGTGATATAGCCTCAGAAATCCAAGGAGCGATCGCTATGAGTCAGGTCAGACTTGACAGCACATAATGACAACAACAAAGATAGGCCAAATGATAATTAACCTGCAGCCACAGAGACAAGCTCTTTTCAGGCCTAAAAGAAAGGAGACGTGAATGCTGTGGAAAGTAAAAGGGTCTCATCCTTTGGGTTCTAGTTTTCAGCCCTAAATTCATAACATTTAAGGTTCACTGATAAATGAAATGATTCAAGGCCTTAGAAAGTGGATTCTCTATTTATCTAGACATAAAAATTAATCTAGATGTAAAATATTTTTCTGAAGACAGTATTTTCTCTCCAAAGCTAAAGTAAGCTAGATGTAAAATGTACCCTCACTGATTTAGAGAACTCTTCCTGAATACAATCACTTAAGTGTAGGGTTTGAAAAACGTGGGCAAATGACTTAATGCTTCTCATTGTCCATTACTTCTCTGTAAAAAAAGAATTATGGTATCTGGATTATAAAGAAGAGTAAAGGAGAAAACACAGGTGGGGGGAAATAGGCTTGTTGGAATGCTGGACAGCTGCAGACAAAGGTTCTCAATCAACTTTCTCCTCACCAATGAGTCTGACTTAAGACCCAGTGTGGTCCAGGATATATGTAAGTATGTTTTATTAAGGACATCAATTTTTCATATGAACTCTTTCTGAATCATGACAGAATCCTGGGTATAAAAGAGCTGTGCCACAGCAAGAACTGGGTTTCTCAGACCCAGTGAGAATCTATCTTGAGCCTACAGTGTCACCAACAACTGTGGGCCACCACTAGGGGCTGTGGAGGCCAGAAAAAGCTATGCTGAGATAAGTTGCATCTGTGCCTGCTCTGGAAACCACTCCAAGTGCCAACAACAGTCTCCTTAGGGAAGGTGAGAGGCATCTTTGCCAGGCAAAAGGCAATCCACCAGGAACAATGATGCCTACAAAGTACTAAGCATTGGTAGCATAGTGCCTAAGGCACTTGACTGCTAACCAGAAGGCTGGCGGTTCAAACCCACCAGCCACTCCTCGGAAGGAAGGTTGGGCATTCCTACTTCCGTAGTGATACTGCCTCGGAAACCCAAGGAGGGGTCGCTATGAGTCAGGGCTGACTCGATGGCAAATAACAACAAAGGACAAACACTCAGTTCATCTCAGCTACTCCTACTTATCATATTACTACTATCATTATTTAATAGTAACAGCAGACTGAATTTATAAATCTGAATAATATACTGTTCCTTAAGAATAGCGAATAGGAAGTAAGTGATCTTCTTTAAGTTGTATTTTTTAGTAGTAACATTTTGTTTTATGTGAATATGTCATGACAAATTCATTTCCATAGTTTTACTTGTTGTTGTTGTTGCTTGCCATCGAGTCGGCCCCGACTCATAGCGACCCCTCCTTGGGTTTCCGAGGCAGTATCATTACAGAAGTAGGATTGCCCAACCTTCCTTCCGAGGAGTGGCTGGTGGGTTTGAACTGCCAGCCTTCTGGTGAGCAGTCAAGTGCCTAAGTGAGTGGGAGGGTAGGAGCAGAAAGGCCCATCAGGCTCAGATTTGGCAAATATACCAGAAAACACAAGGAAACTAGGCTTGCATGCAGAAAGCTAGACAATTGCTCACATACTAACAATAACAAAGAGCCAAATAATCTATAAAATCATAACAATCCTTGAATCCATCAGAGACCTGAGGTCACAGGGTAGCCAAGTAGCTTAAAAATCTAAGGAAGCCAGGCACCTCCTCAGGGAGAGACAGATGCAAGCACTGGCTGGCCTATGGCAGATGATAGAAAAAAGATGCCAAGTACCACACAAGTGGGTAAGAAGAATTTGGCTAAAACTTCTTACAAAGTGATAAGGGTGGACTGTAAGTACAGAATGCCTAGAAGCCACAGACAAAAGGGGTATTTACACACACTCATCTAGTCTTCTCTACAGACTTCTACCAAACATTGTGAAAAAGAATGGGGACAGAGAAGTACAGGCCTAGAAGAGGACAGTGCCTGCTGTTGTGTGGGAGAGGCGGGCACAAAGCCCCACTTGGACCCTTTGCCCCAACAGTCAAAAGGCTTAGGCCACTGAAATACAATCAGTAAACTCTGTCTATCCTAGGGCACAGAGGAAGACCCACTATTGCTTAGGGAAAAGGGTAAAAATAACTCTCTTGCCCTTAGGGAGAGGCAAGAAAACACCCATTAGAAGTCTCCTTCCAATTCAGTGATGGGTAGAAACACTAAGAAGTCCTCACCACCAAGACCCAGGAATAAATGATCTTCCTAAAACTGAGGCTGGCCCAGGAGGACAGAAAACTCCCACCTACCAATGTGTTGTTATGTACCGTCGAGTCGGCCCCAACTCACAGCAACCCCTCCTTGGGTTTCCGAGGAGACTGCCCAACCTTCCTTCTGAGGAGTGGCTGGTGGGTTTGAACCACCAGCCTTCTGGTTAGCAGTCAAGTGCCTTAAGCACTATGCTACCAGAGCTCCTCCCACCTACCAATACTAGGCTATAAAGCACCAACAGTCTACTGCTGAAGAAGAAGCAAAAGCACAGAGAGATATCTTCTAAGTAACAGGTGCACGGCACACTACAAGCTAAGATTACAGGAGGAATATTAAGAACACCCTCCAGCATCCCAGCCTGACCCTAAGCAAAAGGTAGGGCTAGAGAAATATTAAAAAAAAAAAAAAAAAAAAAAAAACGCACTGCCGTGGAGTTGGATCCAACTCACAGCAACCCCTCCTTGGGTTTCCAAGGTAGTATCACTTCCTTCCGAGGAGTGGCACATGGATTTGAACCACCAGCCTTTTCTGGTTAGCAGTCACATGCCTTAGGCACTACACCATATGAAGCCAGTAATAAATTAAAGATAGCCAGAGCAACAACAAAACCTAAACTTAACTCAACTCCTGACTAGACTGACTCAACCTCTCAACACAAACCTAAAACTAAAAAAGGTTAACCCATTTCCAAGTATAAAAACTGTTTCTCTCACGCTCTACTGTCCTACACATGATGTCCAATATTCAATGCAAAATTACATTAAAAGACAAGGAAAAAACTCACTGCCGAGAGAAAATAATCAACAGAATTAGACTTAGAAATGATCTGATTACTGTAAGACAAAGAATTTAAAATAACTATGATTAGTATGTTAAAATGCATGAATAGATAAAAAATTTAAGTAGAAAAATGAAAATGCTAGAAATAAATATGGTTAACAGAAGTGAAGAATCCTGCAAGCTCACCAATACACCTGACATGGCTAAGGAAAGAAATAGTGAACGTGAAGAGGGTCCAGAGAAATCACCCAAAGTGAAACAAAGAGAAAAGAGATTGTGTATAGAAACTGAAAGGAGTATCCAAGAGCTATGGAATGGAACTGAATGATCTACTATGTGTAACTAGAGCCCCTGCAGGAAAAGATTGAGAACAGGGTAAAAGAAATATATGAAGAGGTAATAGTTGGTAATTTTCCAAAAATAATGAAAAACATCAAACTACAGCTCCAACAAGCTCAATGAACTCCAAGCAGAATATATGTCAACATACACATGTGTACATACCCACCTCTATGTGTAATATTAAAATGCCTAAAAACTAAAGATAAAAATCTTGAAGGTCAAAGGAAAAAAGACACCACACAGAGGAACAAAAAAAAAAAAAGATTTATAACAGACTTCTCATCAGAAATTATTCAAATCATAAAGAGTAGAATGGTATTTTTAAGTGATCAAAAGATGGTGGGGGGAAGATCAACACAGGATTCTACATCCAGTAACAAAATATCTTTTATAAAGGAGAAACCTGTATACTAACATTCATTGCAACACTTTTCACAATAGCCAGAAGTTGGTAACCACCAAAATGTCCATCAACAGATCAATGGATAAACCAAATGTGATGTATACAGAATACTGCTCCACTATAAAGAAAAACGAAGTCCTGGCTTATGCCACAACATGGCAATGTTTGGAATTTGAAAACATTATGCTTAATGAAATAAGTCAGTACCAAAAGGAGAAATACTGTATTTTAAAAAAAAAAAAAAACCACCAACTCACTGCCGTCAAGTCAAATCCGACTCATAGCGACCCCTCCTTGAGTTTCTGAGGTGGCATCTCTGCAGAAGTAGATTGCCTACTCTTCTTTCCGAGAAGTGGTTGGTGGGTTTGAACCACTAGCCTTCTGGTTAAGTCAAATGCCTTAGGCACTAAGCCACCAGAGCTCATTGTC